AAAAAAAAAAAAACAAGAACTTTGTTAGCGTATCAAAAATGAATTGTTTTTATTAATGCATTTACTGCTGACGTAATGTTTACAACCCTTTTCTCCTCTTCGTTCCCTTTTTCTTTTCTGTAATTGTTGGTGGCAGCTAAAAGTTAAAAAGTTTTGATTGTCATAAAACACAAAGATAAGAAGGGTACCTTCTCTTTTGAAAAAAAAAAAATAAAGCTAAATTTTAAAGTACGCGCTAAATAATTGTGCAGTTTTATTCTTAATATGAAATATAAAGAAATGAACAACAAAACAATTGCTATATAATACGTTATATGTAATATGCGCCATAATACGTAAAGATTTAGAAAAATAAAATTGAGTTTTTGTCTGAAGCTATCTTTTCAGCTAATTACTCTTTATGAGAGGTACAGCTTCATTATTTGAAGAATAGATAATATACTGTTTCTAAAAATTTAGCAATTTCTAATTTGATTTATTGGCACAAAATGTGAAGTTCAGATCTAAATAGTTGAGTTACAATATTTTTGTATCTGAATATTTCAGCTCTTTACAAAACCATTTTCAAAACAATTTTTTATCGACTAGTAGATGGTTTTTAAATTATGGTTTATTATACTTCAGCTTCCGCCTCCTTACTCTTTCCGCTTAAAAGACGGTCATAAAGTTTATGTGACATAGCCGATTACAGTGAGAAGCCGGATGAATCAACAAAAATAAATACTTTGTTGTTTGTGCTGAACAAAGAAGTAAAGAAAAAAAATAACAAAAAAAGCCAAAAAAGTGAAAATACAGACTATTAGGTGTTTCGTTGTCGTCGTCGTGATTCTCGTACTGCAGATACGTAGGCGATGATACATAAATTTCACTGCACTTTGTTCGCTCTCTCTTATCAGTTGGTTATTTAAGACTAAACTGTACGCATTAACTCACATATGTATAAACAACTAGATTTTTTAATCTTGCTTCCAATTCTGAAATTTTATTTTCTTTACTGTTTATGTTGATGTCTGCATGAAATTTTTGATATCTAGAGACCTTCATTCATTATTCAATTTCTGAAATGAGTTACAGCTATTGTTATTGAAATTAGTAAGCTGTATCTTCGTACAGTCAAAATAAATAATAAAAATTTAAAAATTTCAAGGCAACTTCACAGAAATGACGAAGGTTAATAACTGTAAACTTTGTTTAACAATTTATGAAGATTGCTCTGATTTTACTCTGCTTTTGAATCAGTCACTTACCGCTGCTTTGGCTTCTTACAGTCAGTATCTTCCCATGTGTCATCATCGTTTGAGTAACTACAATCTTTTTGGTGTTTAAAAAGTTCTCCAAAGTTGAACGCTGAAACTTATGGATGATAGCTTAGTTTAATAAACGTCATCTTGATTTGTTTAACAAGCATTTTTTATTGTACAATTTTTACGATTTTTCAGGTTAAGAATGAAGTTGCTTGTGCTACTCAGCCTGTTGACCCTGGCTGCTTGTTCACCATTCGATTTTATAAGCAAGGGTTACCACTCGCTTATTAACAAGGTTAGCATTCATAACCAGCTGCCATTAACGTTTGGAAAATTTGACTACCAATAATGCAGTGACAAAATTCTATTGCTCAAATTATTTTTATAAGTGAATCCTAACGTTTTTTACTGAACATGTTTTTTAGCTGTCATTGAAGGCATCTTACGGTTATGCAGCAACAGTTAATCAAAAATTCTCAACCACAACATTCAACTGCATGGCACAAGCTGGATTTTCAGTGGCATTCATTCAAGTTTATAAGCCGGACAATACCGGCAATGTAGACTACGATGGTATTCAGAGTATTAAGAATGCTAATTCAGGTCGGTAATCAAATTCCATTCAAATTTTTTATTAACATTTAATAACATAATGTAAAATTACGTCTTTATAATTCTGCTAATCGCACAAACATATTCGCATCAGTTGCAGCTGGTCTTGGCGTCGAAATCTATATCAATCCATCGACCGATGGAAAAAGTGCTGCAACTCAGTTTGATGAAGTTTATCAAGCTTTGAGAAGCAATGGTATCAGTGTTCAGGCCGTATGGTTGCAGGTAAATTTTAGTTAGTTTTTTTGAGTCATAAGAAACGATTTACACAACCAATGTTTGATATATTTTATTTTTATTTTTATTTTTCATTTTTATTTATTTTTATTTTTATTTTTATTTTTATCTTTATATTTACATTTACTTTTTTTCTTGTCACAAAACAGAGAGTACTAAAAATTTATTAAATGTTTGAAAATAACTGATGTTTCTATGTTTACTGAAGGTTAGTGCATCTGTAAATTAAAATTTTTCAACAAGCTATAGTTTGAAGCTGAATATCACTGTAAATTATTGCCAAAACTTTGTCTACCACTTTTTTCGTCGGTCAATATCTCTGAAAACAACTGTATTAAACGAAAAAAAATTGATAGTTGCAGTTAAAGATTTTATTAATTTGTAGGTTACAAATCCAATTTCTTGGCCAATTCAAACGACAACAAATATTAACTTTATTACAAGCTTCTTGACTCGTGCAAAGGTAAAAAATTGTTGCACTGTTTGTTTTTGAATTTTTTTACATTCGACTAAGAAATTTTTGATTGTTTAATAAACCAATGCTTTTGCTTTTTTTTTCTTATAGCAGTACAATCTTTACCTGGGTGTGTTCACCAATTGGTACGACTGGCAACAGATAACTGGTGGGTACACTGGTCTTTCCAGCCTTGGCAACGTACGATTATGGTAAGCATTTATTTTGTCTTCTGCAGTTTTATGCCTCTGCAGTAACATTTAACAATTAAAATACTAAAAAATCTTTGAACTAAACACGATACAAGATCTCTCTCAGGCTTTTCACCTAGTGCAGTGCAATTGGATTAAGCATCTATAATCAAACCAGCGTGTACAGTCTGAGAT